GGCCAGTGTGGGTGGGCGGGAGGCTGGGGTTTCCACACTGGAGGGCAGTGGGCAGCCAGCCACTGAGGGGTCCCAGGCCCCTGGGCTTGCAGAGCCCCAGCGGGGGCAGAACTGTAGCCTCAGAGAGGGGTCCCAGGGAGGAAGGAACGACGAGAAAGAGGTGTGGAGAGCAAGAGTGGGATTGTGAGGTCTAGTGTGGCACCCTCACCAAGAGGAGACCCTGGATGTGACCTCTGGAACCCTTGAACCTGGAGCTCCCACCCTTACCCCAATCCAGCCTCCTGGGGTGCAGACGGCAGGGCAGGTTGGTGGGCTGTTGAGATGAGGCGCCAGTGGTTTCCTTCAGTCTCCCATGCCAGGCCACAGGGTCTGAGGGCGGGTAGGTGGGCTTCAGGGAGGGTGAGGAAGGGGCGCTGGGTGATGGGGGTGCTGGGTGTCTGTGTAGGGAGGCTGGGAGCTCCTGGGCCCTGTGGGAGGATGTTTCCAGCACCCTCCATGGGGACAGGACCTAGACAGGCCCAGGGATGATGTGTTTTTTGAGATGGGTGTGTTGAGGGGAGATGAGGACATTAGTCATTGTGGTGGCTGAAGGGAGGGACCACGGACAGAGGGGAGAAAAAGCTGATGAGCTGGAAATAGGAGGGAGAGGAGCTTAGGCCCTCATGAAGCCAAGGAACTGGGTGTAGCACCCCCCCACCCAGAGGAAGGAGGTGAAGGGTCCACAGAGACAGCCCCTTCCCCCAGAACAGGGAGGTGGCCTGGTTGACAGTGACCAGAAGGGGGCAGGGTTAGGCCAGGCAGTGCCCTACAGAGCAAGGATTTTCCTGGGGTGTCCCCCCTCTCCCACCTGTATCCCCCACCTGGCCGTTGAAGGATGGCCTGGGACCCTGCAGTCCAGCGCCAGGCCTCTGGGCCCACCCCACTCCCAGGGCAGACAGGAGGCACCGTCTCTGCCTGGCGCTGGGAGGCACAGGCCAGCCGCTGTGGGGGCAGCGAACTTGGGCCACACCCGCCGGGCTAAGCGCTTCCCCAGAGATAAGGACCCTCCCCCGCAGGACAGCCTCTGGAGACCGCCCCACAATCCCAGCTAGAATCCTCGGTTCCCCGCAGCCATCGCCGTACCCGCCGAGGGAGGGGGCGCACAGTCTGGAGTCCCTTCTTCCGAATTCCCCGGGGACGTTCCGCTGCGGTCCGAAGGACTTCCCAGGAGTGGGTGGGGTGGAAGGTGGGGGGCTCGAAGAGGCCCGGCTGTTTCTCCGGGGTGGGGCTGGCCCCGTGTGGTGAAGGATGGAGGGGAGTTCTTGGGGGGGCTGCCAGGTTGAGACTCCCCTGGCAGGTGTCCCCAACACTGTCCAAGAGAAGGCCGGGTCAAAGCGTGTGGGAAGTTCTCGCCCTCTGTTTGCATCTATTTGCATTTTTGATGAGTTGTCCCCTCCCCCGCTCCAGCGTATCTCCCGGGAGCTCGAACAGGTGCCAGGGGCAAGGGGTGCTTCTGGAGAGCCCCCAGAGCAGATCCTGGACCCCACAATACCACAGCCCTGGGCGAGGGGCGGGGCTGGAGCCCCAGGAGCAGCCCCACCCTTCAGTGAGTCCCCAAGCGTCGTCTGTGCCCCACCAGCCCCTGTTAGATGGTTGGCTAGGCCCAGGGTCTGCCCGGAGGCGGGGGTGGACTAGATGACCTTTTCTCGGCCTCCTGTTCTGGAGCCAAGGTTCTAGGGTCCAAGTCCCGGAATTAGGGGGCAGGGCGCGAGGGGCGGTCTCTTAAGAGGCGGAGTCCCAGGTTCCCTGAAAGGCGCGCACCCGGCGGGACCCACCCAGTCCAGCGCTCTCTCTGCTCCAGCCTAGTTGCCTGCACCGGACCCTGCACCGCCATGCCCAAGTGCCCCAAATGCGAAAAGGAGGTGTACTTCGGTGAGCTCACCCCCGCGCACCTCGGCCTACCCTGGCCGACCCGCGGTGCATCGCGCCACCCACGCGGAAGCGCGGCCCCGGGGCGACCTGGCGGGACTGTTTAGGAGGTGGGGGCGCCGGGGGACCCTGGGGAACCGCCCCAGGAGCAGACACCTTAGCCCTGCCCGCAGCCGCCTGGGTGTGCGGGTCGGGGCCCCTGTGTGGGGTGACTCTGTTTCCCGGACTCTGGGCCCCCCGATCTCTGTGTCTCCTCGACTCTCTCCCGGACTCTGTGTCTCCCCATCTCGGGGTCCCGCTTTCTCCTGCCTCCTCCTGGGCACGCCCTGGGCGGGGACCCCGCGGGGCAGGAAGGAACACGGGACTCCGGCTGCCCCTGCCAGCGTTAAGTAAAAACAGACGCGGAAACCGGCGCCCGGGGCGCGATCTCAGGCGCGCTCAGGTCCCGGGCTCCGCCTCTGTGCCCTGCGCCCGGGGACACACTCACGGGAGGGGCAGGAAGAAGAGGGAAGTCCCCGAGCCCGGGCCACTGAGAGGGCACTCTGAAGGCCCCACCCCATGATAGATGCCGAGGTCGGAGGGCTTAACCTGGCAGCCAAGCCCTCCTGACCTTCCAGCACCCCCGGAGCGCCCCCAGCCCTCAGCCCCGCCTCACCCCCCGTTAGCGCTTCCTCCTGTTTATTTGGCTGGATTGGCAGAGGTGCTGCTCAAGACCCATGGGGCACAAGGGCTATCTGAGACTTCTGGTGTGCCAGCAGGTGTGGGTGGACGAGGTCCTGGGCAGAGGAGGCTGGAGAAGGTGGGTATGTGAGTAGGTGGGTGTGCCCTGTGCCCCCAGAGCAGTGTCTCATAGGGGGTCATATGTGCCTCTGCAGCTGAGAGGGTGACATCTCTGGGGAAGGACTGGCATCGGCCTTGCCTGAAGTGTGAGAAATGTGGAAAAACACTGACCTCTGGGAGCCATGCCGAGGTAGGTGGGGCCTGGGGGGCAGCAGGGGCAAGGGGTGCCGGGGGACAGCCCCTAATGACCTCTTTCTCTGCAGCATGAAGGCAAGCCCTATTGCAACCACCCCTGCTACGCCGCCATGTTCGGGCCCAAAGGTATGCTCCCCACGGCCTACCCAGCCCCCCATGGCCCACCCAGCCTGCCACAGCTAGCCACCCCTAAACTGCCCACTATTTTTTCTGCAGGCTTTGGGCGAGGTGGAGCTGAGAGCCACACTTTCAAGTAAACCCAGGTACACCCCCAACCCCCACAGCTGGCCCTCAGGATGGGCTCCGCTAGTTCTGAGTGAGGCCTGTACTCACCTTGGTCTCTGTCTCTGTGCAGGTTGCGAAGGCCCCATCCCTGGCCGCCCGCCGGACCACTGCCCCTCTGGGCTGATGCCCGGCCTTAACCCCAGGCACTTGGGGCTCCCCTGAGGACCCCATGCCCTCAATAAACCGAACACCGGGAAGATTTGTCTGTGTGTGCCTGTTGCCGGGGAATGGCCCAGGGGAGCTGCCGTGGGGGTCCTGATGCCAGCCCCTGCCTGGAACTTGTTCTTTCTGCTGCAGCAGGATGCCCGGGGGTTGGGAGCTTTTCTGGGGGCCCAGTGCAGGCTGCAGCCCCCTCTGCACAGCAAGTGGCCTGGACAGTTCCGAGGGTGCCCAAGCCCCAGGGGGCGGGGGTAGTGCTGACAGCAGGAACACCAGGTTACCAGATCAGGAGCGGGAAGGGCCAGCTAGCGAAGCGGCTGAGCTCATGCTGGTTCCGTTTTTTTGAGCTGGGGAGTCCTTGCCTGCCTCCCCACTTCCTGCTGTCCTGACCTTATCACCATCCCCACCCTATCCCACAAGACTAGGCCAGCTGTGCTTCTGTAAAGGGCGTCCATCTGGACACCACTGCCCCTCATTTGTCCCCACCCTGTGCCCAGGGACTACCAAGTGGCTGGCTGCCCAAATGGCGCATTTGAGGATTCGCGATGCAGTGATGGTTGGGGGCTTTTTGGGAAGCCTCTGTCAATTCAGGCAGCAGCTGCAGACTTGGCCACTCTCAGAGCCCGCCCATTTCCCCCACACTGGCCGACCTACTCCACCCCTCCCAGGTCTCTGCTGACCTAAAGAGCCCAGAGGGGTCACTTCAGCTTGGCATGTGGCCTTGGTCCTGTCCCAGGGCTTTGGTGGAGGTACTGTAGCTGGACAGGCTGTGAGGGGGCTGAAGGGCAATGAGTGTGTGCGGGGTGGTGGGGTAGAGGGAGAGAAACGGGGGGTTCATGGAATCCCACCAGATGGGATGAGGGCAGGGAGGCATACGCAGAGCTTGCCAAGGTGAGGCTGGCTTTCTCAGTGGACAGTGGTGGAGTGGGGGCTGGGGACACCGAGGGGGCAGTAGATGCACAGGAAACCTGCCCTGAGCTGCTGGGAGAGGCAGCAGAGGCTCACCCCACTGCCCCCTGCAGCTCATAGTCTAGGTCGGGGAGGACTCGGGGTGAGTGCTTAGAGAGCGGAGGCCTGGGGGAACAGAAGAGTGAGTCAGCCAGGCCTCAGGTGGGGAGGAAAGCATTCTGGGAGGAAGGCCCAGCAGGTGCAAAGGCCTGAGACGGTTCCAGACCCAACATGAGGAACCACTTGTGTGAGCTAAGGAATGGGGTCTTTATTCTGAAGGCTTCAGGGAGACTGGCCAGAAAGGCCTCTGGCTGCTGTGGATCTGGAAGGCAGGCCCAGACTGGAGCCTGTGCTGGTCCCAGCCTGAGCTGAAGGGGAACCCTGGAGGGGAGTAATGGAGGGCCAAGGGGAGCAGGCAGCTGTGTCCCTGTGCTGGTGGGGAGCAGGGTGTGGGCCAGCGGGGGTGGCCACAAGAAATGGCTGTTCAGGTGGGGGTACTGGGGCAGGGGACCCAGGAGCACTTGCGATGGAGTCCTAGGGGAGGAGGTTGGTTATGGGGGAGACACAGGGGTGAGGGGCTCATTGTGCCTGAGAGGCAGGTGGGCAAAGGTGGCGACTGTGGGAAATTTGGGGTTCAGGCATGACTGCGCTGCTCGTGGGATGGGCCACGGCTGGGGTTCAGAGGATAGGTTTCCTTCTCCTTCCCTCTCTCTTTATCACTTTGTCTCTCCCTCTCCTCTCCCCATTTCACGCCCAATTTTACAGCTTTGAGGTATAATTTACATACCATAAAATTCACCCGTGTACATGCAATGACTAACCAATTCACAGACTTTGGCAGCAGTCACCACAATCCAGTTCTAGATCACTCTTGTCAGCCAGAAAAGTCCCCTCATGCCCCTTTGCTGTCACTGCCCAGTCTGGGACTCTTTCCAGTCCACCTCTACCTGCTTCTGGTCCCTCCCTACACGTCTGCTTCTCTGGGTCTCATACAGACGCAGACACAGACAAGCTTCTCCCCTCTCTGAGCTGCAGCCATGCAGGTGCACATGTCAGTGGTGTGGCTGCCGCTAACCACTGACCAATGCTCCAATGGATGGCCTTACTGCACAGCTGGCAGCTTTTGGGTTGTTTCATTTGGGGCAAAGCTGCTACGCACTTCCGTGTATGTAAATACAGTTCTCATAGGTTCTGGGACTGGCATTGTTGGTTTAGGATAAACCTATGTCTAACTGAAAGAACCGCCAAGTTCCTTCCAAATGTTCCTTCCAAGACGGTCTCTTCAGTGGCGGGAAGGAGAGGCTGAAGGCGCAGGACGGGGAGGCTGGGGAGGGCGGGCCGCGCAAAGGATGGACGGGACGGGTCGGGGCCGGGGGTCTACAGATGGAGGTTTAGGTGGGAAAGGTCACCGGCCTTCCGGGAGGAGCCCTCCGCCCGCGAGAGGCGGGGTTGAGCTGGGTGGGGTGGGGGCGTGCCCCAGCAGTGGCCTCCGCGTCCCGGACCTGGTGCGCGCTGCGGGGTCCGGGCGCCCTCTCGCGGCCGGGCGGGAGAAGGCTTGGCGGAGGCGGAGAGCCACCCCCGGGGGAGGATTGGTGGCTCCCCGCTGCGCGGCCCTCAGGCCCGCGGGAGCCCCCTGAACGCGGCCGCGGACCCTTTGGCGGTTGCTAGGTTTCCATTTGGTGCATGGAAGCGAGGCGCTGATTTGTGGTGTGGACCAGCGGTGTCCGGTGTCGCCGCGATTGGGCCGCAGAGTTGTCAGCGCCGATTGGTCTTGCTAGGCCGGAAGTGCCTCCGCAATGGACAGAACAGATAGCACTCAAATGCCGAAGGCACCTCTCATTGGGCCCGGGCCGGAGGCGTGTCCTGGCCCGCGGGTGGCCCGCGA